CCCTATAGCAAATTAGAATGAATTTTAAAAAATAAAGAAGGCAATTTATGTGGTTTGAAGACATTTATGCCCTCATAGAGAGAAATGAGATAATCTAATAAATGAATATTCTGGTTGAAAATCACATGTAGTATCCAATTCTCCTAAATGTGTCTTGTGTATTTCCCTTCATGTGTCTCCATGTATGTTCTTCTTATGTGAAGTGTTCACTGCCAACCTCTACTCCAAAATTCTCTCATTTTTTGGAGGCCCAGTCCAGCTCTGCTGCTCCCATTCAAGCAACCATGACCACTCCAAATCTCTGATAGTCATGTTCTATGAGTTTCTGCAGTCCTTCTATCCTCCTGTATGGGCTTTCTTCCATGTGTTATTTTCCTCCTTGGGCATGTGTCTTACACCTTTTCTGATTTAACAGGAATCAGATCTTTGTGTTCTAGGCTCCAATTCTTCATCCAGTATCTGCTGGATCAAGTTTAACTTTTGTTCAAAAAGCAGGTACAAATCAGACTACCCAGCTACCTCAAAATTCTACACAGACAAAATCCAACATAGCAAAACCCTTTGGGTGTTGAATCTTTCATGAAAGAAATATGACCAGATGGATATATCCATGATCTTCAACAAGTTCATGGAAAGTACATATTATGAGAAAACTACACATGGGGTTCAAAGGTTTTTGCACCAAAATCAATTTGTATTTTAATCCCACTTTCTGTGAACTTATTTTTTAAAACTTTTTGGAATTATTTATTTAAAATTTTTGTTTTGTTTTAAAACAGTTTGCTATAGAGCACGTGCACTCAACAGAGAGAGAGAAAGGGGAAGTGAGAAAGCAAGCTACCATGTCTGGGACTTGAACCACAGTTGGCCATGCAGGAGTCCAGCACCTTAACCACCACCCTACCTGCTGGCACTCCATGAACTTCTTAAGTACCCTCATGTAGAAAAACACATAGAGAAAACTTAACTAAAATAGTATATATTCTGTCTTCAGAGCACTTTCTCACACTTTCCATGTAAGCAAAAGTTATAGTAAGATTCCCACAACTAGAGCTCAGAAACCAGCAATTATGAGAAAACTCCCTGACAGCTGGTTTTGCGTGTCAACTTGTCTGGACCAAGGAATATCCAGAAATCTGATAAAGCACTACTCTGAGTGTCCATGGGGGTGTTCCGGAAGAGATTAGCTGGGCTGGATGCAGAAGATCTGCCCTCAATATGGGTGGGCATGAGCCAATCAACAAAGGACCTAGAGAGGAGAAACAGAGACAGAACAAGATAGACTTCCTGTTGCCTTGGACGCCAGAACCTGTCTGCCTTCAGACTCCAGGACTTACATCAGTGCCCAACCCACCCCGCTCTCCACAACACACACAGGTTCTCAGGCTTTTGGCCTCAAACTATGAGTTACAGTATCAACTTTACTGCCTCTGAGGCCTTTGGACTTAGACTGATCCATGCCATCAGAATCCCAGGTTCTCCAGTTTGCAGATGGCTTGCCGTGGGACTTCTCCACTGCCACAATCACATGAGCTGATTCCTCCATTAAATTCCTTCTTACATATCTACACAAACCTATTGTGTCTGTCTCCCTTGAGAAGCCTAATACACCCAGAAAGTTAAGAACAAATCCTAAACTGAATTTCTTCCTCTGGAGGAAACAAACAAACAAAAAGACATAAAAGGTAAAGGTCCAATCATTTTTACAGTACAAAAATTTTATTTTTTTTTGTTAGGATAATTTAAAGTTTAAAACTGAAGTAGACATATTCATTTTACAAACAAGATATTCTTTCATAAGTAAGACCATTAAAAACAGTAAACAAAAAAGCTGTCTTTACAAAAAGCTCTGTGCATAGCAACTTTATACTGTATATAACTGACAAAGCCAAACAATAAAAGGAAACTATACAGTTTGAAAATGAGGCCTTACTGTACAAAAGGTAGAGAAGATAATGGTTTTTAAACCATGCATATTGAAATGTGCAAAGAAAAACTGGGAAGAATTACAATGCGATAACCAAAAAAAAATTAGATAAATAATAAGGTAAATTGTCCCTTTAAATGAAAACTCTTACACAGCTCCTCTTAAAAGATAGGATAGAATTTGTAGTTACCTATAGAAATACTCGTATTCCAAGTGGCACAAAAATAACCTGGGACTGGAATGATTCGATAGCAAGGACTAAAGAGGACAGAGTAGCTTTGTTTTTAATTTATTAGTACACTAAAAGTAATCCTTACACACATTTGTACAATTAAATAGATCTGTTGCTGTCAAGGTTCTAGCTGAATGGTCAAGGATGTCTGGTATTTAATTATACACATTTTTCGGTGTCGAGCTACCAACAAATTCTACAATCATTTTGAAGACAGTACTGCACTCATCTTCATGCAAGAGCAAAATTCACAGGTTCTAAAAGCAATGCTACTTAAAAAAACATTTCCTTATGTTGGATTGGCTCAAATCCAGGTCTAAACATGCTTAATTTTGTTCTGCCTTCACTTTTGGATGGTAATGTTTGTATTCCATCCACTCTTCCCCTCCCATCAGATTTTTCACTGGGGGACTTTTTCTCATGTGTTTCTGTGTATTTTGGCGCTTTAAGCCCTGACAATGAGGGGCTGTCAGCAGTAGTTACAAACATGCCAGGTTTCTAAAACCTTGGATTCTCATGTGCATAGAAATAATATGGGCCATATTGGGTAATTCCAGAATGGACTAAAGGCAAATAAGATAGTTGGGTGCTGGATAGACGTGGGCATGTATCCATGGGGCAAAGAGAAGGGCTGCAGAATTAATGAAGTCATCTGAAGCAGGCTCACATAAACCAAAGATCTTTTTCCATGAGAGCTGCATTAATTCTAATGTTAGAACTCCAACTAGGAACCTCAAACTAAAGTCTGTGTACAGACTACTCTGTGGTGCCAATTAGTCAACAAGAACCCTGCCCTGGAAAAACAATTGGCATCCTTATTCACAATCCAAGGAAGTCTGGCTACATCTCTAGGATCTCAATATCATTGACTGGAGCAGCTACTGCAAGGTCCCCCCTCCCTCCCCACCAGCCTCCCTTCCCAAGAGCTAGTCACAGAACATTGAGAGCCCAGCGGAGGGCTGGCTAACTGTGCTGCTTAGAACACGGATCTCCCTAGTCTCTAAATCTGTCCAGAATCTGGATTTCTATTTCTTTGAACATAAGGAGAGGGGATTAGTGCTTTTAACATTCCTCTTCCACAGTCTATCCCATTCTTGCCTGGAAACAGTGTCAAGTGGGATTTGGGATTTCTTTTTTTTTTTTTTTTTTTTTTTGAGGGGGTTTTATTCC